TGGAGGGCTCCTGACTTTCATCAGGCTCGCGTCAGCTTCTGCAGCCATCTCCAAAAGACAATAAATGCCAAGGTCCAGCTCTTAAAATTAGAGGTCACTTAGATACTTAATGATGAAGCATATCTTCAAATATATATCTAGTATTATTATCCTAGCAAAAAATTAATTAACCAGGTCATACAGGCCATGAAGGCTAATGTACAAAGTAATTATTTCTGATCTTTAGACAACTACTTCACATAAAAAGGTAGTCCTTATTCTGCTCAGCAGATACCTGAAATGCCTATAGTTAATCATACCGAAGGAAACAAAAGACAAGGTTTATCTCCTTCAAAGATGAGAGTACATCTCAAATTATTCTGTGTAATGGTTTAAGAACAATCACCTCCTCTCTTATAATATTAACATCTCTCCTGGTTAGCAGACAGGAAGAAGGAAGAACACCTACCGAATGGTGCTCTATCCCATGACAGACACACAGAGACACACAAAATATATGAAAAGCACACAGGAATATATCATAGTCAAAACAGAAAATACTGTGTATGAAAAATACTCCTATACTCTCAAGACAGAGTGAGGCTTCAGGGAGGAGAAATACACTTGTAAATAAGCAGCCTGTATTACAGCATTTAAAATAGAAAGCTTTCAGATGAGACAAAGAGTATGTGGAAAGCAGCAGCAAGGGCATTTAGTTCAGGCCTTCCACAGATGGAGTTTGCCATCTAATGCATGCATTAAATGATGAGGAAAGGGCAATGAATATTATACATTCATCATAAGGATTAAAAGTCATAAAGATTAACAAAAAGCTAAGAATTTCAAGTTTCACAATTATACCAAAAAAGGCATGTGTGGATGAATTCACTAAATCGTCAGCTCTGGCCCAGGAAGCCAAATGCCCAAATAATCCCCCAACTAGCCAGTCCATTGTTAGGAGACTACTGTGGTTCCATCAGTGATATGAGGAGAGGCCACAGCCTATATAGCACATGATATAAGCCCCTTGAAAATCTCTAAGATTGGGGCTTGAAGAGAAGTGAATAAGGAGATAACACTGTTCATGTCTAGAAAAGTAAGTTTCTCACCGAGATATCTTCATGAGCTGAATTCTCTTCCAAAGATTACGTTTTAGCAACAAAATGCCATCATTAAATGTGTTCCTAATAACGCGCTATTGAAACCAAAGAATGTGGTATGTCGTGTCCATGAAGACTATCTTCTCTAGATTCAAGAACCATGACATGGTCAGCTGAGGTTGGATAAATAAATTTATGGATGGACCAAGAAAGCAGGATTTATAAAGTATTTTCTCCTTTGCTTAGACTAGCCTTCCATTTAGTAGTTGATTAAAACACTGTACATATACTTTGATATGTCCAATGGATTAAAAGTGAATTTTGTTGACTGGTCAACATAACTCATAAATAAAATGCTTCCAAAGACTGGCTAAGATACTCTAGTGCAACAGTGGAACAAGGAAGATGACATTACCGAAGCAGTTATCTGTCTTTTGGAATTAAAGCACGAGAACCAACATTCCCAATTCCAAGGACCCACGTTCCAGCATCTATTATTTTGGCTTTCCATAGACTTGATGAAAACTGTGCTATTTCTGTCCTGGAAATATCAAAAATGTCTAACTTTTTCTGGGCTCTATATCGGGGGAATTACTTAATCTGAAACAAATTAGAGGAATCACCATTTTCCCCAAAGCACAAACAGAGGGATTTGAATTCACTAAGCAAACAGCCTCCTAAAAGATCTGTTAGTATTAAAGCATTTTAATAATCATTTAAAGTTATTACCCTGATTTTTTAATGGCAAAAATTGACTCATCAAAAATATAAAAACATTGGTTCACAAAAATCATCTTACTTTCTAAACATGGCTTACATGGTATCTCTTTCAAAATGTAGTTAGAATTTGTTAAGGCAAAATTATGTCAAAAATTATATTTAAAGAAGAAAATATATAAATGAAAGGGTTTTTAACTAAACATTTAAGTTCTGTATGAGTTTACATAAAAGAAGCATGGGACTTTTACAATACTGTCTTCATCATGCCTTTTCCGATCTCTAAGGAAAAATCCCGCTTTTTTCATTTTTTGTAAACCATTCAGGTTTTCATTTGTTTCAGTTATAATAGGCCCAGATGTGTTGGTGTGTAGTTATTACAAGAGGTTAGACACTCGTCCCCTTTCTTTCTATTACAGCTTACAAATTCCAAAACAACAAGACAGATTCACAAGTCAGCATTCTGAACTAGAAGTAGAGAGCAGTCTTGAATGTAACCACCTGATACTCATGATCCATAGCCAATTGCCATGGCTTAATCTTGCTGACCATGTTAGCTAACAGGTTCTAGGACTCAAGATTTAAAAAGAAAGAAGGTCAAACTTGGCTCAAATTGTCTCTGTATACATTTGCTTTAAGAAGAAGGTTTTGTATTCACCTTATTTTACTCTTCTGGTTTGTTCTCAAAAGGGAGAATGTTTCTTTCATGATAGAAAAGTGTTGGAGGCATCTCTTAAATCTCATATTTTGCTCAAAAAGTACACTAAAATTAGCCCAACAATAATCTCTTCTAAATTTGATCATGACTATAGCTTGTCAAAAACCATATTTGAAAATACAGCTAACTCATTCCCTTTCTAAAAAAAAATAATAATAACTAAAAGTCTGAATATCAAATACCTGCTTCATAAGTGTCAGAGATGAGCATGTTTTGTGTAAGGAGTGTTTCTCAGCATTTGAAAAATTCTTTGAATAGTCTATACTGATAAGTACTGACAAGATATGAAGTAATGCAGTAGCTCAGGACAGAATGAACTATAAATACAGGTTATTGTTTCCTGTTATTTTTTAAAATATGAATCTTATTACAAAGATTCCTATATTTCTAAAATGAATGCAACTCTGACACTTTGAATCTCTCTGATTTTATAATTTGTACAGTTGAGATCAAGTGCTGATTAGCTTCAATTTTTAAAAATTTAAACAATAAGAAATAGCCACACTTTTAAAAGCAATTAAACTTCTATTAGAAAGCTTGAAAAAACAGTTTTCCTATATTCTCAAATTGAACATTCTGATGAATAATATTTTAACATCATATTCCATAGTTTCTTGAAAAAAGACATCAATTTCACATAGTAAAGTTATAACCATAAAATCATATGCAATCAGTAAATACTAATAATATTTCATAAAAATGCTCTGAACTGATTTGGTTGCTATTCATCTGACACCCTCAGTACCACAAAGCAAACATCAATTAAGACAGCCACTTCATACAAACAACAGTGGACTAAGAAGTGAAATACATTGAAAATAAATAAAGAAGTAAATAATAAAGATGTAAAAACCTTAACAATAAGTAACTGATAAATCAGGGAACATCTCAGGAAACTTCTTCCATTCCTGCTTTACAAATAGGAGAAAGAGGGAGAATTAAATGATGAGGTTGTTTAACACCTACTGAGTTCTTAGAGAGGAATCTCGAGAAAAATGTAGGAAACCACAGGCTAAAAATCTTGACCTTAGCAGTAGGAGACACACTGAAAATTCTAATAAGGGCAGAACCAAGGAACACCTGGACAGTTGTTTAATTAAGGATCTCAGCATGAGTCATAAAAGAGATATCAGGAGGAGAAATTATTCCACGATTTAATTGTAAAAGCTGACTGTCAAAAATGCCAGAGACATTCCATCTCCCCCGTATTTAGACTCTTTACTTTGAAACATACATCCTTGCATAGGGAAGATGGAATCAGACTGAACTGAACAACAACAACGAAGCCACTGGCGAAAACCTCTGAGTGAAGATAACTGGACAAAATGCCAGATGAGGTACAGGGACTTCCTCAGGCACCAAGGTGGTACTTTAAATGGAACACCAAGCATGATTAACAAATGAAGCAAGGCTCCACGTTAAAATCACTGGCTTTCACCAATGAAAGAGCAGATGAGTAAACTAGGACTTTATGCGAATGGTTTTTTAAAAAAGACAGGAAGGTGTAATAGTAAACACAAGCAAAGGAATACTATAATTCACATATACCGCCCCCTGTAGGCTGCAACACAGATTGCAGAGGATAGAAAACATCCACAGCAACCAAGAGAACGCTCAGAGGCCGTGGCGGGGAGACAGAAATCTGGGATGAGGATTCCTCAGGATTCATCACCAGACAACCAGGTCTGTATTCTAAGGTTTTCTAGAAGTCACATATCCATGTTCCTTTTCAAAAATGGATGCCACTTCCCTTACCTATCTCAGATAGCTGTTAGTTACATCAACCATCAGGTGTCTAAAGGAACATCAGCAATCAGAATTCCTTCCCAGGCCACTGTAATCGTGATCTATGTACCGTGTTGTTACACTGCCACAACAAAGAAGGGGTTTTTAAAATTGTGTCACAATTATTCAGGAACAAATGTTTCTTCCTTTCCAGACTATAAGCTCCTTAAAGACACATAATTATTCATTGATCTTTCTATTCCCCTCAGCACCCAGCAGAAATGCAGTGAATATTTGTTAAAGACCAAATTAATCATTATCAATCTTTTCCCAGCTTGTAAGACTCTTCTCATAACTGACCCAATCAGACAGTCCTGATAAGCAAATAAGCGTCAGCTTCTCCCTGTGATACCATCAGGTGGTAGAATACAAAGCAGAAAGTGGTATGTGGCAATAAAAACAGCACGCGTGTACTACCTTTGGGACCATTTGGGTTTCTACTGGGTCAGTGTTGGGCGAATGGCAAAAGGAGAAAGAGATAAGGTTTATTCTGTGTATGCCTCACATCCGAATGCTTAGACCACCGCGTCATGGTCAATGTTTCCTACATCCACATATACAATTGTATACAACATCCTTGAGGAACAGCCCTGTCGGTGCTGTTGACAAGAGACTGGGGCACATTTGCAGCATTTTAAATTCCATTTGCAAGGAGGAAAGTCTCTAAGTACAATCAGCCGAGAGTAATAAAACACACTGACCTGGATCTGTTGCTGCAGGAGATTAATTTTGTGCTGCTGCTGCAGAAGTTGCTGCTGCTGTCTCGCAATCTATCGGAAACAAAGTTTCGTTAAGTTCAAATGAAATGCTTGCACCTTTGCCATTACCCAGGTAGCTCTCACGGAATGACAAGAATGCTTTATTGCACTTCTGCGTGAAAGAGTTCCTATAAAATGAGAGAGGCAGACTTGGTAAGTTGGAGAAAATGAAAAATTTCAAACAGGTGCCACCTCTCTGCTTACCGCCTAAATCTTTCTCTATAGGTGAACAGTACCCCTTGTGTGACACTTGTGAGCAGTTCATCCATATCTGCACTGGTCATCTGGAAAGAATGGGAATGTCGAAATCTGATCTTTGGAGAATAAAGGCAGGAAAACTCTGGCTACATTTTTCGCAAGAGCTTAATTTGGATATAAAAAGTACAATCTGTAAGCAAAGCCGGGAAAGAACTTTCTATTACTTGTGGTCTACTTTGGGGAAACCTTTTCTGAAGGAAAGATTTCCAGAACTGATAAAACTTACAAATATTGTCAAGGGAGTGCCAAAAAAGCAGCAAAAAGTCAGAAATCTTTTTGGTTGTTGTTATGAATGTCACAGGTACAAAGCACTTTTTAAAAACAAAATTTAATATTTATCCTTTTGAGGGTAATGTGTTAATTTTAAAGTTCAGGATCCACATACAAGTTTTACATTCCCTTCCTTCGTCCAAAAGTCAGATTAAACATGTGAACACGCCATCTGGTCTATAAAAAGAAATATTAACCACTCAATGCAAGCCCTATTGAGGACTGAATCTGCCCCTCAGAAGAGCAAACAACTTCTTCAGCATAATGTTATTTACTATAAAACATGAGTTAGGCATCAGCTGCCTCTTGCCTCAAAAGCTGGGGCCCCGGGAGATGTCCCTTATGAGAACACATTCACTGCCCACATAGGAAGCCAGATGGAAAAGTGGCCAGAGGCTACTTAGAAGAACTTGGTTTAAGTAGTGCCCTACAGGCAAGAGTTATGGGTTTTTTCCTTCCTATTTCTTCTACTTCCAAAAGCCTATATTCTAGAATCTTGGAAGTGGAAATGAATGTGGATCAGTCCCCTGCTGTGTATTTCTTGAGTCTTTTTGATGCTTCAGCCTAGAGCAGAGGGAAACACCCAAATCACATTTCACTCAGCCCAAGATAACAAAAAATAGCAGTCTACTCCCAAATGTTGCTTTTGTGGTTTCTGGTGATGACTGGCTCATACTGGAACTCATGATAAAGCTGCCCCTATCACAGGCTAGAGTTTGAGAGATGGGACCACTCCTTCCCAAAGCTTTTTAAGCAAAATGGAAACAGTGTCTAATCAGATTGGAAAGGCCCAGTCTGCTTGTCACCATTCAAATCAGAAATGGACAACTCGGCAACTCTAGGTATAGATGCTGGATCCTCTGAATATTTATTTCCTCTTAGCAAACCAGTGAAACACTACTAGGCATCTAATATTGATGGTCCCTCCTAAATGATAAAGTGCTGCATAGAAATGCCCCCAAAACACCACAGTGCAATTACTATCATCCACTCTAGACGTATGGGTTTGACACAGTGAAGTATGGTACATAAGCACCATGTGGCTCAAATTCTGAATTTTATTTGCCAATCGGTTGAGCTACATGCTCGCTTCATTGAGCATGACAACCTAGTTTTAAGTGTCATTTAATTTTCATTTTGAAATATAATTACAAAGTGTTCACTGTAAGATATCACTCGTCTGCAAATGTGTCAAGATTAATTTGTGCTAGCTTATTCACAAGTGTCAATAGTTAATTACTGTGTCATCTCTGGATGGCTAAATGACATTCTAACTTCTGATTTTTTACAGTGTTCCTTTATGTTATTTTCCATTAGGGGCTGAGTCCATATTCCTACATGTGGGCAAATATTCAAGCATATAAAATACCAGACGTCACAACTCATTAAAATCAACAGAGCATATATTGCTCTATATACCCCTATAAAATACATTTAACTGAAAAGATAATTCCAGTAATAATGTCAGATTCCTAAAAACTGCACATTAATTTGGGTCCATCTAATCTAAAGCAACAGGGATTACTCTATAGGATCATTGTTGTTAGATTAATGTACTCTTATGAGACAGGAAAAACCTTTGGGAAAGTGATTTATTTTTTAAAAGATACACATTTAAACTTTGCTATCCTTTCTTTCTCACATCTAAATCAATGAAATCAAATTCTTAGAGGAGCCATGTGCTAATTTGTTTTCAATGACTTACCTATGCTATAAATAGAGTGACGATATAATTTATATAATTTATCATTCAAACTGCGACAACTTTTGCAAGTGGAATAGGGGGTTACTAATAATTACTCTGGAAAACAGGCACTAGCCAGGGCTACTCTGGGAAAACTGAGACCTATAGTCACCCTAGCTTTAAAGTTGGAGAAAATCATTGGACCAGTAAGCTTAAAGATCCTCAAAGTTTTTCTAGACCAGGACTCTCCCTTTCTGGATGAGAAGAGTAAGGCCTGGAGAAAAGCAACTTACTCATGGTTAAGCTATACTAGGAATACGCGTGATGTCTATGTGAATAAATCCCTAAGTAATTAATCAAATCCAAATGTTCTGGAGCAATGTTATCACTTCAGTTTTGCCCAGTTGCTATGATGCCTTTCTTTGTCCTCCACATATCACCTCAGTATTCCGAAAACCCTGGATTTTAGAAGGCTTCTTCCTTTCTTTCCTTCTTTTTTTTTTAGGAATGCTTATGACAAATAAACCAATCAATGTGATTACTCGCTGAGCTTGGCACATTCCACAGCTCCAGCTCATCAGCTCCTTTTGCAGGGCTCACCTGTTCTTGCTGTTGGCGAGCAAGGTCCATTTGCTGCCGTTGTTTCTCAATTTGTGAGGCTGCCAGTTTTTTCTGTTCATCATGCGCTGCCAGGAGCTGCTCCCGTAAACTGATCAGCTGGGTAATCATTGTAGAGAGCTGCCGTTCTTTTTCTGCCAGGCTCTCAGGTGTACCTAAAATGGAAGTGAGAAGATATCTCACAAGTTTGAGAAAAGTCAGAATGAATTGGGGAAAGGGAGAGGGCAGATTTAGAAAGGGACTACCTTAAGACACTTAAAGATCTGGGACAATAACTGGAGGTTACTGTGAGCATTAGGAACACAACAGCATATCAATGGAATGAACACCAGAGTTAGTCATTGCCCCTGCCAAGAAAAAGTATTATCACTAATAAAATTCTCATTCTTCCCTCTTGCTCTAATTTAAAACAAAACAAAACAAAAAGCAGAACTACCCCCATCTTCACCCGTTTACCATATTCCTCCTCTCCCCGCCCCCTTACCCCTACCAAATCTATCTGCTCAAGCTAGGAAACCTATGATATTTAATACCAAAGATTAGAAGGTATAGGTTGTGTTAATTTTCTATAATACTGGTTATCTCTACCCTCAGTGACTAATGCAGGATCTAAGACATAGTAGGTGCTTAATAAGTGTTATTTAAGGAATTTTCCAATCATTGCTCTCCTAAAACTTTTCTTTTGTGTAAAGACCTGTCTCTGAATTCAAGAGTTGTTCTCTTCGCCATGGAATGAGTTCTACAGAGAGAGGGGGAAAAAAAAAATCTGCCTTGCCTCAGGTAAGAAAGGATTGAATCTGATTTTTTTTCCCCCTTTGAGGGGATCAAGCTAAAGTTCTCAGGTTCATCCTTAAAGGCAACAATGTTGCTTGGAGGGCTCCTTCACCCCTTTGTCATTTGTCATTCTTCAAAGGGAAAAAACACGTTCAAGGTTGAAAAGGTTATGCATAAGGATGTGTTGTTTAATGAATATGATGTTGCTGAACACTTATGGTATGCACTAATGGTGCTGAACAGTCTTTTTATGGGCAAATTGCACAGCTCTCCTAAGTAAAGGGTATAGAATCCTTCTGTGAATCTAAATTAGAGTATTTACCACAGCATAAGATAAGAATTTCAACCCACTGTATTTGAGCCACACAGGTTTCATTATGAAGAAATGATCTATGATTTGAAAGCTTTTCAGAAAGATGCCACCAGCTGTCAAAGGGGACAAAGATTGCCGATTTGTGTGTGTGTGTGTGTGTGTGTGTGTGTGTGTAAGAGGAGACTTCCAATCTCCTTAGGAAACCCCCCTCATTCCTGCTAAGAAAGCACCAGGACAATCTGAGAAACTCAAAATATTTCAATTAGCAGTAGTCCTATTTTCCGAGTGGCCCCGTGGACAAAGGGAGCCTTCAGAGGATGCAGGCAAGTACTTGCTAGTATCTGATTCCCAGAAGGTAAAACTGATCTCAGCAGAGAAGTTATGGCACTTAGGACTACCTTGGGGTTTGCAATGCCAATTCAAGTCCTTAAAAAAATAAAGAACCAAAAATTGTCAATATCCCATATCCTTAAAGATTCACTGAGTTGAAAGATGGCCTAAAATCAAAATTAAAAGAAAAATAAGATAATGAGATGTTGTTAGAAAATGTGTTCTACTGATAAAAGCACAAATACTGTATCAAGCTGTTCTTTCCAGCTACTGGAATTGATTTTTTTTAATGAGTTTTTATTTCAGCAATAGGAACTTCAGCTTGGTAAAAAAAGAACTTCTTGATCTAGAAATACTAAAATACAAAAGCAGTTTCCTAGAAGGAATCATAAAATTTCTTCAAAATTGCAACAAGCTCAATTAATGCATGTGTTAATATATATAAGAATGAGAAAATACAAAATAAATATGAAATGTATTCATTTACTCATTTTATTTATTTCTCATTGAAAAAAAAAATACTTCCTGAATGACAGCTATGTGTCAGGTACTGTATAGAACTAAGGATACTAACACCATGGCAAGAAAAAGCAGACAGAATTCCCTACTCTCATGCACTTTGTAGTCCAAAGTAGGGAGACACCTTAATCAAGAAATCACACTTTTAAATGTAAACTACAGCTAAAAAAGAATTACAAAATGATAGGTATTTGGGGGAAAGTTTAACCAAGTCTGGGAGGACCAAGTGTAAGAAAGATAGACAAATTAAGACAAAGTAACAAATTAACAGGAAGACGAATAGAGTTAACTAGTCAAAGAGTTGCAGGGTGGTCAAGGAGCTTTTCTGTAGAAACAAAATAGGCAAAAGCCCTGAGATGGTGGGGGAGGGGGAGTTCTAGTGTGTTACAGAAGTTGAAAGAAAATAGTAAAATTTGAGCAAGTAAAATTAAAGCAAGGAGTAGAGTACCAGATGAAGTAGGAAAGGTTCACACCATACAGCTCCTAATAGACCATGCTTGATAAACTTCATATTTATTCTAAGAATATTTCAAAATCACTACAGTATTTTAGATAAGGGATGAATGATGTGGTCATTCTAGCTATGGTGTGGGAAATAGTTTGGAAAATTATAAGAATAGATCATTGGGATATATGCACATTTTATTACATATAGTTTTGGAAATATTCTGATCTACCTGTAATTTTCTTTCTATACCTATCTATATGCAGTGATTTAAGAGAAGGCTTAGTAGATTCTGGGAAAGTCACTGTACCACAATTCTTTGTTAATAAAGAAGAGCATTCATAAGAAACTTTGGGCAAGGACCAATACAAGGGTGGGATCCGGTACTTAGATTCCCCAGTAGACTGGAAGCTTTTCTCTTCTCCTAGATTAAACAATGTTGTTTTAACAATCTTCAATATAGTCTCCTTTCTCCTCTACGCAGGAAACAGAGAAGCTGAGGATAACATATAAATGTCTTCTCAGCTTCTTCTGCTCAAGGTGAAGCCAATAGGTCTATAAATGCATTGGTGCTTCCAATGTGAATAGACATGTATATCTGTATTTACAGAATATCACCATTTAACTGAAGCTTTTTACAAATCACTAATGATATTCAAGCTGTATAATTATAAAAATTCAGTGACATCTAAATAAATTTTTTAAAAAGTAAGCCGGAGAGCAATATTTTTAAATGGAAATTTTAGGCATTCATATAAGACTGTCACTATCTTTTCCTTAATTTGAGGAGCAGATATATATATATTTTGAGTAGATATGAGTGGCATAATGAATGCAGTTGGAATGAAATATAGTAGCAAAACAAGTCTAAAATTTCCCCCTCAATGGAGAATTTATATATCTATACATATAGATAGGTAGATATATCAATTAGTCCCTTGTGGGTCAAATTAAGGAGAGATCAATTTACACCATACAATAGCTTATACTCTCTAAATGTGTAGGCCACTTTGTCCCTATATGTGTGGGCATGTGTGTGTGCACGCATGATCATTTTTCTGTTCTATAACCATTGTATTTATTCACATAGAGTGGTTTAAAGCAAGGTATTTAAAACATGTGGGGCTGGATTCTTCAGTTTTAAATTAACAGCAAATGTTTATGCTGCTATAATAAAAATAACATTGAATCTCAATCACATTGATCAACCAACCTGTGAACACAAGTGTTCTCATCTCAAAAAATACTAGTTTAATTGAATATGGAACTTTGCTACAGCAAACAAACTAACAAACAAAAAACACAACCCCTATAGACAGTCCTTAACTTACAATGGTTCAACTTATAATTTTTTGACTTTATGATGGTGCAAGAGTGATATGTATCCAGTACACCAGGGAACGAGAGTCTCTCCAGATGCTGGACAGAGGCAGAGACCTGCAGCTCCCACTCAGCCGCACGATCGCAAGGGCAAACAGCCAGCGTGCTTTGCCGTACTGCACCCGTATGACCATTCTGTTTTTCAGTTTGGGGATGATATTCAAAAAATTATAATTTATTATTATTGTTATAAAATAGGCTTGATGTTAGATGATCTTGCCCAAGTGTAGGCTACTGTAAGTGTTCTGAGCATACCGAAGGTAGGCTAGACTACGCCCCATTAGGTGGATTGGGGTGTATTAAAGGCATTTTGGACTTAACGATATTTTCAACTGAAGATGGGTTCATCCGGACGTCACTCCATCACGAGTCGAGGAAGACCTGTACAACTGCCAGAGTTGTTGAAAACGTAGACAAATTATGGGGCACAGTGGGGCAACCTAAATACCATCCGGCTATGTTAAAGGCAAAAGACCAGACAGAATGCTCTTATGCGGTAACTTAGCTCAATGTAAAAAGTCTTGTCTTAAATGATGTTTTGGGTTTTGATAAAATCAACTTGAAAAAAAGAGGAGCTCAGATCCAGAGGATCTGCCCAGGCCAGCAGAGGTCATCAGTAGCTGCCTAACTGTCGTCTGTTTCACATCCTTCCGGCTATCTTAAAATCTCTAGAAAACATTGCCAGAAAATAGTCTCTCCCACACAAAACAGAGGTAGTTTCATAAACTGCAAAGAGGGAACCAGCAAAAAGGCTTCTGTACACAGCTTCTCTACAAGTCAATGTGCCTGTTTTTATCCAATATTGCACACAGTGTGTGCCTGACACTCTCCGCTATAAACTCTGTCTATTCTCCAACTCCAAAGACAGTGCAGCAGGTTTTTGTGGGTTTTTTTTTTTCCACGGGGTCGTCTTTATCCCCAAACCACATCTGTCTTGAGTTTCTCTCAGATTAGTCAGGTGGATCAGTGCTCCCCAGGGCCTGCTCCAGCTGAAGTATTTTAATTTGACTAAACACCTGATTTATTTTATCTCTCCGATGAGAAAGGCAGTTTGTCTTAATAGAGCCTGTCAGCCCACAGCCCCATTCACAGCAATTTACAGGCAGCCAGGGACGCTGGAAGAGAAGAGTGCCGTGATTCTGTATTTTATCCTCCTCCAGAAAGCACCTAAAAGCAGCTATTCACTGCTACTGCATGTGGCATTTTAGAACTGAATTAGCTTTTTATTCAAGTAACTACACTTGTTGTGAATAGCTTATCTGTAAAATTGCCACATTCACTACTGATTTTATTAACCTTTGGCTCTATCACAAAATGGTCTTCAGTTAGGAAAGACCTTTAAAATTGACACATTTTTTTTCTTAGGGGCCTTTATTCCAGTGACTTCAGATTTA